CAGTAAGGCATAGGTAAGGCATAGGTTTTTTAAAGTTTCCCTCTTATCCCCATACCTTTCTCCAAATTCCTCTCCTATCTTCCCCTCAAAGGCAAGCATTTTAATATTTGTAAGTACAGTACAGAAAATAATCTACATAAATGGTATTGTGGCCTCATTGTACTTCTTGCTTTATTCACTTAGCACTGTATTTCTATGATAGTCCATCTTGTGTATCTGCCAAATTTGGGGGAGTTTTATTTATTTGTTTGTTTGTTCTTGGGCTCAAGCAATCCTCTTGCCTCAGCTTCTCGAGTAGCTCAGATTTTCAGGTGCCCACCACAATGCCCAGCTAATTTTAGAGACAGGGTCTCGTTCTTGCTCAGGCTGGTCTCAAACTTCTGAGCTCAAGCAGTCCTCCCACCTTGGCCTCTCAGAGTGCAAAGATTACAGGCTTGAGCCACTGCACCTGGCCTACCACATTTTATTTATGTACTTTTCAAGGAGCAGTGCTCTAAGAAACAGTTTTATACATGTCTCTTTATGGACTGATTTTTGGGATAGATTATACCCAGGAGTAGAATTGCTTCATCCTGAAATACATGTATACTTTGCTAGGTAGTTTTGGATGGTTCCTTCAAGTGGTTGCACTACTCTGTGCTCCACCATGGGGTTTTTATTTGGGGAATTTTTTTGTAAGAGTTTCTCTTAAGACCCATACTTAGTTATAAGAAATGATTACTTTAAGTAAAAATAATTGTTGAACTCTTGAATTATTGCTAGGTAGAAGTTCTAAAGGAGATTATATAGCCCCACTTTTTATAAAAGCTTGTGCTTCTTGCGAGCCAGACATATTCACAGTGCAGAAGACTAAGAGCTGATATGAATCATCTAAGTCTATGTCCACATGATCTGTAACTATGAAATTGTATTATTTGTAATTATAATTCTAACTTATTTAACTTTTCAATTATATTTAACACATAAATAATGCTTACCATGACCCTAGCACTTGGGAGGCCGAGGCAGGTGGATTGCCTGAGCTCATGGGTTCAAGACTAGCCTAAGCCAGAGCAAGACCTCAGCTCTAAAAATAGCCGGAAATTGTGGCAGGTGCTTGTAGTCCCAGCTACTCAGAAGGCTGAGGCAAAAGAATCACTTAAGCCCAAGAGTTTGAGGTTGCTGTGAGCTATGATGTCACGGCACTCTACTAAGGGTGACAAAGTGAGACTGTGTCTCTAATAAAAATAATAATGTGTACTGTGTACTAAGTACTGTTACATACACTTTATAAATATTAATGCATGTCATCCACATGATATCCCTGTAACATAGCTACTGTTATTGTCCCCATTTCTATAAGTGAGAAAACTGAGACACAGAGGGATTTAATTAAGTAATACAAGAATAGATCCCTCACTTTTCATATTGCTATGAATGGGGAATTTTAAAAATCATATAGGGAATATGATTAGGGAATTTCATTATACTAGGGAATAAAAAAATCATTGAAAATAAATGGTTACATAGTATGCATTATTTCATAGTCCATTACAAATATAAAGATGCTATTTAACTTTTCTAACTTTAACTTTTTTTTGAGACAAATCTTAAGCTGTTGCCCAGGATAGAGTGCCATGGCATCATAGCTCAGAGCAACCTCCAACTCTCAGGCTCAAGCAATCCTCTTGCCTCAGTAGAAAATTTTTAGTAGAGATGGAATCTCGCTCTTGCTCAGGCTAGTCTCAAGCAGTCCACCCACCTCAGCCTCCCAGAGTGCTAGGATTACAGGCATGAGCCACCATGCCCTGTGTGACTTTAACTTTTTTTTTTTTTTGCAGTTTTTGGCTGGGGCCAGGTTTGAACCTGCCACCTCTGGTATATGGTGCCGGCGCCCTACTCCTTGAGCCACAGGTGCCACCCGACTTTAACTTTTGAATACCAATATGTGTAGCCTGTTGGCCAAATGGGAAATACACGTCAAACATGTTTAACATTATAGTACTAAGAATTTCAATATAAAATCTCAGCAGCATATGATATGTGAATTTCTGAGTGGGTAAAATTTAATTACTAAAACTCCATAAAATATTTTCTTTTAATGTTTTATTTTAAAGCCCTATTTCCATAGCTCTTTAAAGAGTAGATATTAAAACATAATTGAACATTTTCCTCAAGATTGATGTTGTATTTTGTTAATTCTCATTGTGCTTTGACAAGGATATTGATGTGAAATATGAAACAGAATGGCTTCTGATAATGACTAGATTTTGCTTTCTTGAAAAAGTCCATAATATCCTTTTGCTTTTGGATTATTTGTCCAATTCTCATAAAAATTGAAGTATGGGATATGCAGCCAAGGTTGTAGAAGCCAAGGTTGCTACTTTTCTGCAAAGCTAATCATTGACTTGACTAGAAACCTTCTTTAGTTGTTCTGATAGTTTTGACTCCTCAGCAGGATTGGGCTCTTAGTAGTTAGAGGCCCTCATGAATCACAGATACTATCAGCAGTTATCTTTTTTGTTTTCATGGCATTCCTTGATGAGGAAAGTATAGAGAAACATCCCTCTCCACTTCAGTAGTTTGGGTGGATTACTTCAAAGAATATGAATGCATTATCTTTTGCAAACAACATAATAGGCTAAAATTTTCTCCACATATTCTTTAATGTTTGATTTGGAGCCAAATGCCAAGAATAAGCATCATTTATAATTATGGTTAAATCTATAGGACAGAAAGCCCCGTCTTTGGGTGGCAGAGTAACTTTCTTGCAACTCTTTTGAAATGAATTCTTCCACTTAAAACTTGTAATTTATAAACTGTGTGGGTAGGGACAAAGTATACTCCAAAGCAGGGGATTCAGCTCTGCTGATCACCAGCAGATTGTAATTTTCAATTCAGCCATCATTTTTATTTATAGCATGTTTGTTTTATAAGTGCATATTTTTGAAGTATTTTATATTGCAAGTCCCATTTTGCCGTTAAAAGCAATGCTTCAATGCTAATAATCAATTAATGGACACAAAAGTAGAAATAGTATAAAAAGTTGAAAGTGAGAAAATTATACAGATGAAGTATATCATTCATTGGACAATAAGAACAATTATGAAGGGTAGTCCCATAATGTGTAAAAAAAGATATACTGTGCAATTGACAGCCAGAGGTCTGAAATGGTTTGTTTTGTTTTTGTTTTGTTTTTGAGACAGAATCTAACTCAGTTGCCTAGGGTAGAGTAGTTGCTCACAGCAACCTCAAACTCTTGGGCTCAACTGATCCTCTTATCTCAGCCCCCCAAGTACATGGGAGGCACCTGCCACCATGCCCAGTTAGTTTTTCTGTTTTTATTTTATTTAGTTATTTATTATTTCTGAGATAGAGTCTCATTTAGTCACTTTTGGTAGAGTGCCATGCCATTATAACTCACTGCAAACTCAAACTCTTGGGCTTAAGCGATCATCTTGCCTCAGCTTCCCAAGTAGCTGGGACTATAGGCGCCCACCACAAGGCCTGGCTATTTTTAGAGACGGAGGTATCACTTTTGCTTAGGCTGGTCTCCAACTCCTGAGCTCAACCAATTTACCCACCTTGGCCTTCCAGAGAGCTAAGATTACAGGCATGCGCTCAGCCCTGAAATGGATTTGACAAAGGATCATTGCCAAAGAGGGATGCCTGTTCAGTCAAAGGTTAATTCAGGTGAAACTTAGGAGTCCTAAGCAAGGTGACTGAAACTACTGCTGTGGAAACTTATCAAAAACCACACATGGTACTATTGGTTCAAGGCCTTTTCTACTCTGAAGGTAAGGCTCTGATGTAGATTCCTTAACTGTCAGAGGTTACCTCCCTTCTGCTGTGGGTGAAGATTGTGGCAGGAAAGGGTTGCCTGTCCCTGCAGATATTCAACGTAAACAAAACAGAGCGATTCTTAAAATGCCAAAAATATATATATCAGCTCAAAGAAAATGCTGACTCCATAAGGCTAAATCTCTCTCATGGTTTTGGATGTTTAATGGACTTCACAGCCTTTTGGAATTCAGCCTGTTCGAAAGTAGAGCTTCCTCCATATATTTCATTTATGAAAATCCTACTGATCTTTCAATTAAATGGCAGTAAAAAAGATGGACAGCATATTTGCTGGTCACAGATCCTTTTTCCTAAGAGTGAACTTTGTATGCTGGTAAAATAGCTGTACTGAACGTAGCCAAACATCAGTGCATCTAGACTTGGTATGTGGTGGTACATGGTCTCTGCCTTTGTGAGGTCTGCCGCTCACTATGCAAGTAGAATTTTGGTGAAACCATGGTAGAGTGTTTATGTGGTTTAACACCTGGTGTTTTTTTGTTTGAGACAGAGGGTCACTTTGTCACCCTCAGTAGAATGTTGTGGTGTCAAAGCTCACAGCAACCTCAAACTCTTAGAGATCAAGTGATTCTCTTACCTCAGCCTCCCGAGTAGCTGGGACTACAGGTGCCACCACAACACCCAGCTAGTTTTAGAGACAGGGTCTTTTTCTTGCTCAGGCTGATCTCGAACTTCCGAGTATTGTCATGCATCATCATGGCAATGGCATGCAAGTTCACAGCAACCTCAAACCCTTGGGCTCAAGTGATCCTCTTGCCTCAGCCTCCCAAGTAGCTGGAACTATGGGTACCCGCCATGACACCAGGCTAGTTTTTTCTGTTTTTACTGGAGATGGGAACTTGCTCTCGATTGGGCTCATGTTGAACTCCTGAGCCCAAGTAATCCACCCACCTGGGCCTCCCAGAATGCTAGGATTACAGATGTGAGCCACCGCACCCTACAAAACTGATTGTTCTTAAAGCTCAAATTTAGGCCAGGCTATGTCCAAAGGGTTTATTTAAAAGTTGTAGCTAGTCAATAAAAGAACATACCATTGCCAAATCACCCCTGACCTATTACATGGCCTACAGGCTAGGCACTTCCCTGGATTGCCCTGGAAATCAACATTCTTCTTACATGACTCTTAAGATGGACTTAGTTCTGTGTTCTGCTTGGTTTTTCCATTATTGTTTGCAGGAGTTAAGCCAAACCTTAAGTGTGGCTGTGTTCCAATAAAACTTCATTTATGGACACTGAAGATTGAATCTCGTAATTTTCACATCATTTAGTGTTATTGTTTTTCTTCTAGCCTTTTAAAGGAGCAAAAATCATTCTTAGCTCACAGGTTATACAAAAATAGATGGCAGGGCAGATTTGGCTATGAGCAATAGTTTGCTGACCATGCACTAGATGGCCTGTTATACACTAGTATGTTTTTTTATTCTTATGTTCGCACTGCCACTCTGTTTTTTTAAAATTTAAAATACAAATCCAGGTCATAGGAATATCATAACTTTAGATAAAGATTGTATGTGACTTGTGTAGCAGGTGATATTTGGTTGCCTACCAAAAAATCATTTCTGCCTTCTTTGTTGTCAGAACTTCAGTTGAGATTTTATTCAAGTACCTGGTTATCATGTACTTAAGGGAAGATTGCTTTCTTATTCCTCCCAAGTTAAATAGGTGAATCTTCATGGGTTTAATCCAACTTAAATACTACTCCCTTTGCAGTGACCGATGTATTAGGTGGTTGAAAAGTCCATGTGAGGAATTAACCTCCTGAGCTAATGCAGACATGTAGGGATTAATTTAGGAGTGGCAATTCTAGACAGTAAGATTCATGAGGCAGAATTCAGTTGCATAAAATTGATTGACCCTGGAATAATGAATTTTTGAACACTGGAATTAAAATCAAAGTTCCTATGTAGATATATTTGAACTATACTTTGTTTTGCACTGGCCACTACAAATTACTGTTTGGCAAACATATTTCAAGGAAATAGTTATATACATGTAATAGAATCTTAAAATATTTATTAAAAATTTTTTAATTCAAATATAGAAAAATTAATTTTTGTTATTCTAATGTAAAATTATAAGCTTTTGGGAAAGACTGATTTTTTTTATGTCTTTTTCCTTGTAAAATATTTTTTACTTACAAAGTAATAAAAGTGGTAAGAAACAGAAACCCTGGGCAGAGCCTGTGGCTCAGTGAGTAGGGCGCTGGCCCCATGTACCAAGGGTGGTGGGTTCAAACTGCAGCAAAAAATAGCCGGGCGTTGTGGCAGGTGCCTGTAGTCCCAGCTACTCAGGAGACTGAGACAAGAGAATCGCCTAAGCCCAGGAGTTGGAGGGTGCTGTGAGCTTTGACATCACGGCACTCTACCAAAGGCAACAAAGTGAGACTCTGTCTCTAAAATAATAATAATAATAATAAAGAAATAGAAACCCCATGCCAATAACTACAGAAGTGTTTGAAATTTTACTGATCTGTTGAAATCAGAAAGCCTGTTCTGTACTCGCTAAACTTCATTCTTAACCATCTCACTTACTGACACCTTGCAGCCTGGCTTTGAATCTAACCTCTTGACTGAATTGGTTTCTAGAAATCTAGAAATCGATTTTATGGTCCCTTATCTCCTTTTTAAAACCATTTCCTCTTTGACTTTTCTATAATGTTGAATTCTGTTGCTCATTCTGTCTTTGAAACTCTCCTAGGATTTCTGAGAATGCGTCTCTATTCTTCTACCTCAGTGACCATTTTTTAGTCTCCTATATTTTACTTTGTTACTTTCTGCTTGTTGAGGGTAGCTCTCTTGTAAAACATTGACTGTTCATTACGCCTATAAACAATAGGTATAAGAATGAATTAGCCCTAAGTAGAAGCTACAAGTTGCTAAGCAGAGTCTGAGATTATCTTTTGATGTAAAGCAGGGTTTATAAGTAGAATTAAATACTTTCCTAACTGATTAATAGTTCCTGATTTTTTAAGTATACACATATATTTGGTGAATTGTATTCATTTGTATTCCATTATTAAACCATTTCTTTTTGTATACTTGATTTTAGTTGCGAAAACCCCAAAACCAGGATATATGGGAATCCTTATCCCAACATCTTGGCATACTTTGTGAGTATACCCATAGTATAAATTCCTAGTGGTGGAATTGTTGACTTATGGTACGTGCCTATTTAAAAGTTTGGTAGGCTTTCAGAAAGTTCGTACCAATTTGTATTTTATATCAATAAAATGTCCCTTTCATCACATCCTCTCCAACAATGAGTAGTTGAAAATCTAGTGAGTGAAAATAATTTTTGTTTATATTCTCATTTATTTTAATTATGAATGAGGTCGAGAATCTGTTACATCAGTGATTTTCAGTGATGATTTTGCCCCCCAGGGAAATTTGGCAATGTTCGGAAACATTTTTTGTTGTCACAGCTGGAGAGGGTCTGGTGAAGGAATTCTGCTAGCACCTAGTGGGTAAAGGACAGAGACACTGCTAAAACTCCTACAAGGTACATGCCAAAATATTATCTGGTCCAAAATGTCAATTGTGTCAGGGTTGAGAAACCTTGTTTTGTATTATTCCATTTTATCCCCTTTGTTGGTTTATTATCTACAATTCTTGTGGTTGCTTTGGGTTAATAATGTACCTCTTTAACTTAACCACAGTCTACCTTCAAGTAATATTTTCTTATATCATGTGTAGTACAATAGCAGTATACTTTTGTTTTTCCCATCCTGGCCTTTGTGCTGTTATAAAACATTTTACTTTTACTTTTACATATGTTCTAGACCCTACAGTTTGTTTTTAGTACATTACTTTAAATATTGAGTATCTTAATTTTTTTAAACAGATACATTGAAAATAATTAACATTCAGCAAATTGCACATTTCAGGTATACAGTTTAAAAAAGTGTATGTATACTTTTGAAACCACCACCACAATCAAAATAAAGAACATATTTATCATCCCCAAAACTTTTCTCCTGCCACTGAGTAATTCCTCCCTCAGCCCCAGGCAGCCGCTGATCTCCTTTCCACCACTATAGATAAAGTGGCATTTTCTAGTGGAATCATAAGCTATGTATCTTTTTATTTTTCTCTGAATTCTTTCTTACAGCATAATTATTTTGAGATTTATCCATGTGGCTGTGTGTATCATTACAGAAATATTTTTAGTGACAAATATGCCAAGTAACGAGATTATAAAGAGCATACTGAATTCTAGTCACCTGATGTATTTTTTGTTTTAGGTCATGACTGTCCCAGATACGATAATCACATGAAAGTGTCCATTACTGCAGATGCCATTTGACTCATCAGAGAAAATCTGTCTCAAAGAAAATATCCACATGACTAAAACCATTTCTTTATTGAATGGCTTGATGGATTTCCTTTACTCTGATTCATACCAAAGCTGTCCTCCTCCTCAACCAAAGCAAGAAAGAATCCTATATGAGTCAGTCCCAGAATGCCATTTTTACATCACCAACAGGTGAAGAAAACCTCATGAATAGCAATCACCGAGACTCGGAAAGCATCACTGGTGAGTCCAGCTTAATAAATACTGAAATGCTATTGCTTACAGGATAAAAGGCAAAAATGCCTTGGTCCAGCATATATGCCCTGCCATGATGAAACCCTAGTCTCCCTTTCCAACCTGGTCTCTTCAGAGACAGACTAAATTAATCTCTCTTAGTCTGCTATTGCATTATCAAAATCTGCGTTATATCCTGTTCCTTACCTATGTCTCACTCCCCTATACTTTGTAAGCCCCTGTGAGAAGTAACTGTGTCACATTTATTTTCTTACCTCTACAGGATAAGAGTTGCATAAGTGTATCCCCTGCAGGCACCTGACAGCAGTGCCTGGCACACAGTATGCTCTCAGGATTTACAGAGTATATAAACATAGGTACAGGCCCATAACAGCATTATCTGCAAGGCTAAATTTATAAACTGCAAACACTCAAAGTTTTTCTAAACTTTGGTTCTAAAACTCATTTGCCCACAAAACTGGACTTCTGTGGCTATTTCTAGACTTAACTCATTCACCAAACATATACTAAAATATTTAAATAATAGAGTATTGCCACAAAGCCAGTTGGGAGTGTTGTCTAACATACTGTTAGTGCACAGTATCACTTTTTTAAAAATCTGAAAAATTCTGAAATCCATCTAAAGGCGAAGTTATTTTAATTCAGCTTTATTGAGTTATCTTTATTAAAATACAGTAAGGTACACTTAAGTGAATACTTTGAGTTTTTTCTCTTTTTTTTGTTTGTTTGTTTGTTTTTGAGACAGAGTGTCACTATGTTGCCCTCGGTAGAGTGCCGTGAAGTGACAACTCACAGCAATCTCAAACTCTTGGGCTTAAGCAGTTCTCTTGCCTTAGCCTCTTGAGGATCTGGGACTACAGGCACCTGCCACAACACCCAG